TCTATTATTCATGCACACATGCATATAAGTTCTGTGGTTTATCTCTCCCCCACCCTACCTCTTCTGGGGATTGTTAGTCTGTACCCCACTTCCATGTCTCTGGGACTAGCCCATTCCTCAGACTGTTATGTTCATTATATTACACAAATAAGTGAGATCATATGATACTTGTCTTTCTCTGTTTGGCTTGTTTTGCTTATCAATTTTTTAACAACTGAGGTCTATAAAACTTTATCTGAAAGATTTCCTCATTTCTACTGAATCACCAACTCGCCCCTGGAATCCATCTCTGTTCCAGTTCCAGTCCCCATGACCCATGTCAGGCCCATGTCAGCTGTTCCCTTTGGTGCCTTTGCCTCAACTTGTCCCTCTGAAATCCATCCTCCAAACAGCCTCCCAAAAGGAACTTTCTAAAGACACATAATTGATTCATGCACTGTTGGAAGGGTGGGGCAGGGTTAAATTAGTACAACCTCTATAAAGATCAATTTGGAAATAGATATCAAACATATGTGTAATCTTTCACACAACCAAGCCCGCATACATGTGAAATGTCCCTGCAGCATGCTTGTTGTAGCTAAAATTGAAAACCCTGGACGGTCCATCAGTAGAGTACAAGGTAAAAATAATGCTACACCCATGTGACAGAATACTATATGGCCATTAAAAAGAATGAAGAACCCTGGCTGGTTTGACTCAGCGGTTGGAGTGTCGGCCCGCGGACCAGAGAGTCTGGGTTCGGTTCCCGCTAGAAGCGCATACCTCGGTTGCAGTTGCAGTTTGCCCGCGGCCCTGGTTGGGGTCGTGTGGGTGGCAACAACTTGATGTGTCTCTCTCTCATTGATGTTTTTTCTCTTTCTCTTCCTCCTTCTCTCTCTCCCACTCTATCTGAAGATACATGCAAAAATGTCCTCAGGTGAGGATTTAAAAAAAGAATGAAGAGCCCTAGCTGGTTTGGCTCAGTGGTTAGAGGGGTCCCGGGTTCAATTCTCGGTCAAGGGCATGTATCTGGGTTGCAGGTTCAATCCCCATCCCCAGTCGGGGCCGTGTGGGAGGCAATCAATCAATGTGTCTCTCTCATATTGATGTTTCTTTCTCTCTCTCTCTCCTTTTCATTCTATCTAGAAATCAATGGGAAAATATCCTCTGTTGAGGACTAAAAAAAAAAAGAATGAACACTCTCTATAGTACTATGGAATGACCTCCAGGGTAAAGTAAGTGAGAAAAGGGGGCAGAACACTGTAATTTGTGTTAAAAGAAGGAAAATGTGTGTGTGTGTGGCGGGGGTGTTGTATATGAGTAACTATTGGCTTCTATATGCATAAAGTACAAAAGAATACAAAAGAAACAAATTTTGGTTGTATGTTGGGAAAAGAGCTAGGAGAGAGACAGGAGATAAGGGCAGGAAGAAAAATCTTGACTATAGATTCTTTAGTATTCTTTTCATTTTAAACAGGAGTTTGTACTGTCTATTCATAAATAAATGAAATTATAATGTTAAGTACATAAAGAAATAGCCAATAAAACACTGACCTGTGTTGTTCTGCTAAGAGCTCCTCATTGTCATATGATTAAAACCAAATCCTGTGGTATGGCTTTGATGGTCCCCTCACAGTCCTGGAACCCTCTCCCTGTGCCAAGCATCACACTGCACTTCACAGGGCCCTTCTCCGTGCTCCTCGCTCTGCCCCAGGGTCCCCCCACCACACACACACACACACTAGCTTGAGCTCCACCCACTTCACCTCAGGTTCTCCAGCCACAAGCAAACCTGTCACCAGTACAGGCTATGTGGCTAGGTTTTGAGGCAGTAAGACGAGACAAAGCCTGCTGGTGAACAGGGAGGAGGAGCACCCTAGATTCTCAGCCTGTGTGCTATTCTCATTGAAGACTTTACAGTAGAATGGCCCCAGTGCCTGGTTCAGTGGCTTCCAAGTCTGGTGGGCAAAGCTGCACCTACAGAGCCAAGGATACTCTACCCCATGGGTGACTGAAGGACCTTGTTTCAACTACCTGGGCTCCCTCTAAAACTTAAATGCCATCCCTTACCTCACCCAAACCATAATTGACCCATTTTACAGATGAGAAAATCAGGCTTAGAGAAATTAGGTGACTGCCCTGGGTTCTTCACCAAATAGGGGGTAGAGATCTGAACTCTGGTGCCTGTTCTTACCTACATGCCATAAACAACCTGTCCTTGCAAATGGGGACCAACCCCTCTCCAGCCTCCTCACCCAGGCTCCACTTTACACTGAGAATCAAGGCACAACCCATGATAATTCTCACCCCTTACCTGCCTTGTGTTTGCTCCTGCTCCTCTACCCAAACCGTATTTGTCCTGACCCTTCCTCCCCATCACACCCACACTGAGAGTTCACAGACCAAGGCCTGGGATTTCAATTTGTATTTGCAGTAAGCAGCACAAAACCCAGCTTGGGCACAGCTTAATGAATCTTTGTTGGACTGACTGAGCAAATGATAGTTACCCCTACCTGCTCCACTTTCTTTACCAGGGATCTGTTTCTTTCCTTGGAGATTCAATTAATTTTCTAGTGGTCTATAAAACTATCCAGCAGTGCCTCGTCTTGGCCTGTGGCTGGAGGGGAAGGATGATGTATAAGTATTTGGTCCCTCCGAAGCCCATGGGGATTTCCTTTGTGGCCTCACTCTAACATCTACAAGCTGCCTTTGTTGCAGGGAGCACACAACTCTGCTCCAAAGGGCCAGCCTTTCAAGCAGACTGTTGCAGCACAGCCAACATCAGGGATTTCTAAGGAGAGCAAAGGTCACAGCGACTTGACTGGCCCTACTGAGAAATGGCACCACTGGAAACTGGGGTCACCACTGGAAACTGGAAGCAGCTTTCAGTTACTCCATTTTTTCATCACTTTTGTTTTTATCACACGACAGGGAGTGACATAACTGGCCCATCTTGTCTTTTTCAAAATTCCTAGCATCACCACAGAATGAATCAAACAGTGTCCTTCCCAATTCCCACAAACCCAGAGTAGGAAATAGTTCTGAGACCAGAGAGAGAGAGTGAGCGAGTGGGTGGGCAACACAAGTCAAAAACTTGTAGTGTACGAACAACCCTCTATATTTCTCAATATATCAGAGCTTTTCATCTGGTTTTACTGACTACAGAATCCTTTAAAGCAGTGATTTTCAACCTTTTACATTTCATGGCACACATAAACTAATTACTAAAATCCTGCGGCACATCAAAAAATATATTTTTACTGATCTGACAAAAAAATAGGTATAATTTTGATTCATTCACACTGGACGATTATTGTTGTGTTATTTTTTATTTGACAATCTAAGGGAAAAGAGGTCAGTGCCCTGACTAAATAGACAGGTGTTAGATGTTTTAAAAAATCTTACGTTAAAAATCGTTGCTTTAAAAGTTTGCAGAGTAATTATAACAGGGTTAAAGTTTCTCAGTAGTTTTGAAATTTCCAATTCTGTAGATTACATATTTTAATCAATTCAAAAATAAAAACAGAAAAATTTACAAAGGTCAGCATTTAACAAAATATGTTATCAGTGAGATAATTTTTCTTCTGGGACTGAAGGAAAAAGACGTGTTCAGAAAAAAGTTTCAGCTGGAGAAGTGGAATATAAAACTAAACATATTTGAGCAACAACAAAATCAGAAAGTTAATCAAAATTTTATTTTTAACCAAAATTTGGTTTCTATTTATTTTATTAATTTATTTACTTTTGTTACAGATGTTTCTCCTTTTTTCCTATAGACACCCTCCTCCCGATTCCCCTCCCCCGCCAACCACCGCTCACAGCATTGTTGTCTACATCCATTGGTTATGCATATAAGTTCCATGGTTTATCTCTTCCCTCCTCACCGCCCCCCTCCTCTGAGGTTTATCAGTCTGAACCCTACTTCTTTATATGTCTCTGGGTCTGTTTTGTTCATCAGCTTATTTTATTCATTATATTCCACAAATAAGTGAGATGGTGTGGTATTTGTCTTTCTCTGACTGGCTTATTTCACTTAGCATAATCCTCTCCAGGTCTCTCCATGTCGTCTCAAAGGATAAGAGATCTTTCTTACAGCTGCATAGTATTCCATTGTGTATATGTACCACCGCTTTTTTTATCCACTTATCTCACTCAAAATTTGATTTTTAATCAAAAGCTATAGGCATCCTAACAAGAAATCATACTGAATTTAAAACATTTTTAAATAGCCCTGGCTGATGTGGCTAAGTTTGTTGGAGCTTTGTCCCACATACTGAAAGGCTGTGTGTTCAATTCCCAGTCAGGGTACATACCTAGGTTGTGGGTTTGATCCCTGGTCAGGACATGTAAGGAAGGCAATCAAATTGATTTTCTCTCTTACATCGATGTTTCTCTCTCTCTCCCCTGCCTCCTTTCTCCATCTCTCTAAAATCAATAAGCATATCCTCAGGTGAGGATTAAAAATAATGATAATAAAATAAAGAAAAAAAGTATTTTAAATGGTGACATTAAATATACCATAAACAATGTAATTACATTATTATCAAAAATATAAAGCTGCAGTGGCAATTTATATCCTACGATTATTATAACCACTTGCTGTATGCATCAAATCTCCATGTGCCTCAGCTTCCTTATCTACATAAGGAAGACTATGATGGGAAGACTAAGTTACTGGATTGCTGTGAAGATTAAATGAGATAACATATAGAAAGGTTTTAGAACAGCTTTTAGGATGCAGGAAATCCTCAACAACGTTAGCTGCTATGATTGTTTTTCCGTCTACAACTCCTACTATGGCTCTATAGTGTTCTATGCATCTTCATTTCATTTTAACTGCATCTCAACTCTGCAATGTAGGTACTGTATACAAAAACAAACAAACAAACAAACAAAAAACAAGGGCTCTGAGAGATGAAGTAACTGAGTTGAGGTCAAACAGCAAGGACTTGGCTGGAGCAATGTGAACCTGGGACACCAACTTCTTTCTACCAGAACACACTGCATCCCTGAGCAGTGATCTTTTGTCCATAGTAGAAATTTTGCTCTGTACATGCACAGAGGCATATGTGCCAGCCCCTGTGGGAGCTGCAGGACAACAGAGCAGGTGTCAGGGGTTCCCCTCAGAGTACAGCTCCTCAGAGCCCAGCAGAAAAAGAGGCTGCAACTCTATAATCCCAGGTGCTGTCATTATTGCTATCTGTGTTCATTTATTCAATATATTGCTTGTCTCCCCATTTTATAGGCAGAAAGGCTCAGGCAGGTTAAATAACCTGTCCCAAGCCATCCAGCTAGAGTGAGAACCCAGCACTGGTCAGATTCCAACAGGTTCAGATGTCCCAGACCTGAGTCTCTGCCAGGAGGTGTCAAGACTTCCATCATATTGGGGCCATTCTGCTCCCTAAAAATCATCAGGTGTGTATCAGTTTTGTGTGTTTTACTTTTTCTCCTTCTGATACTCTTCTCAAAGTAGAGTGACTCTGGTTCAGGAAAGGGTGCACCACTGCAAGAGGAATGTCCTCCTCACCCTCCTTGGCACAGAGTTAAAGGATCTGGAAACAGAAGAGGCTTAACAAAAAGGGCCATTTTGCTATCAGGGGTCCACAGGCCAGGTGGGGAAAGGAAGACCAGGGTTTGGGGGCTCCCAGCTGGGCATCCAAATCACAGTCCTACCAGGGGCTAGATGTCCTCTTCTGTAAATTAGAGTCTAAACAAAGGTGCTCACTGCAAAAGTTTTGGGGGCCCACTGAGCCCTCAGTAAGTAGTAGTTGCACTGATGGCTGTTGGTAACAAGCTAAGCTCTCAACTCTGGCTCAGCCTCAGCATTCAGGGCCCAGATGCTCCCACTAATCCAGATGGTACTGTAAGGACAGAAGACAGGACTTTCCCTTTTTTATGATTTTTTCACAATTTATGAGATCACCTGGTAATTAAACACAAAGATTGCTGATGTCTGGAACTTCAAACTGCCTTTCTACCCAACTGATAGAGCAGGAATGAATTCTAGAATTAATGGAAAATATTAGAAAAGTAAGAAAACTAATCATAGTGTGGTACTGGCCACAGAAAAATGTTAATCATTCTTTACAATGCTGGTCATGATTGCTTTGTTCTGAATGAGGAAAAGCCCATTCTGACCTGGCTGGGAGTTTACCTTGGGAATGCTGTCCATTCTCCTAATCAGAGGACAAGAGGGACTACCTGACATTGTGGAAAGATTATCAACATGATTATCGGAACAGTGGACCACGACTCACTAGCAACCAGCCCCTGCAGACCTGGGTCACATTCCTTCTCTCCTTTTTACCAAGCATATTTTTATTTTACAGGCTAAAAAAGATATGATAAGAACATACCCCCCCCCAGCACATCTGCCCTTTACTCCCCAAAAACCCCAATAAAAGAGCAACTTACTGTTTCTGTTCTGCCCAGTGCCACCTGGTACTCAGCCCTTTCCCTGTCTATGGCGAAAGACAAGATTTCCTCCCTTTTCTATCTTCTCTCATTTGTGAATTCTTTCACAAGCCTGCATCATCGGCCTAAACACAACCCTAACAGGTACCAAGCAAACATGTAAGTACAAAAAACTAAGGCTACTGACAGAGTGTGAGGTGGAAGAGGAGAAAGAGCAAAGAAGTGATCAGGCAGGCCCTGGGCACCCCCAGCACAGGTGGTACGTCTGACTTGCACACACTGCTCAATAGCCCTTCTCCTCATCCCCACCTCCCTCACTTGATGTCAAACATTCACTCTGTCCCACCCTGCTACCTAATCGCCAGGGTCACATCACCCACTGCAGGACATGAGATGACTTCAACAGGCTGGAAGCCCTGGCCAGGCCCAGAACCCTCCAGTGAGAAGCCAGTAGGCCAGGGGAGGCCCCAGTAACTGGAGGAGGCTATAGGGATCTTGACTTGACCCTCATTCTTACTAGACAGTCATTTTCATGAACTGCTTCAGAGGGAGGTCAGTTTCATAATACTATTTACCCTCTCTGAGCTCGTTTCTCTCCTATAAAACAGGGATGACTCCATTTTTATCTCTACAGACCTTGTTGAAACCTCAGATATGGAGACAAGAGACAGCCCAGAAGGATGGTAGAGTTTGCTCTGGGGCATGTAAACAAGGAGCCAAATGGAGAGAGGTGCTGCCCTTCAGCAGGAAGAACGTGGCAACAGCGCGGGAAACCTAGCTCCAATACCTAGCAGGCACACAGGGAGGCAGGGGAAGCAGCACCTTGGGGAAACAGACTGGCCTGGTCCCCAGTGCAGGCACAGCTCTACCCCTGCCAGCTGGGCAGCCTCAGGCAAATGCCTGTGCACCTTGAATCCTGGATTCCTCCTCTATAGATGCCGATGCTAGAGACAACCCTTTACAGAACAAGGGTGCTAGCACAACACTTGGCACATACAAAGAGTGCTATCAGAATTAGTATTTGTATCACCATGCCAAGCATAGTAAGAGCCCCAAGAGTGGCAATCTCTTTCCCTATGATCCACATATACACAAAGGCCCCATACTCTTTATAGGAGGAGGAGGAATAATATTAACAACAACGTAAAACAAACACAATTCCTCCCCCAAATCCAGTGGTATCCATGAGCTCCTCACAAGGATCTTTAGTGCATGTCAGCCAATAGCACTGTGTCCACCAATGGGTACGAAATCCTTACTATTTTAACTTAGCCTACAAAGATGGGCTCCTCCACAAACATCCTGCTGATTTCAACCAGACCAGAAACATCCAAATAGGAGAATCATGCCACACCACCAGAGGGACCAAAAGAAGAACATATTTCAGGCATTCCAATTATCATGGGTAACAAGCAGGAGTGGAGTTGACCTAGTAACCAGCGGAACCAGCGTGCTGCTTGACCACCAAGAAACCCAAAAGATGTGGTCACACCCCAAGCAACAGCCACCATGGATTGGGAGGTGGCCTGGTGCCAAGATCCTGGCTTCAAACTTCACAGCACTAATTGCAAACTGAAACTTAAGATGTGCCAGATTAGAAAAGAGGGTTATTTAGGCTGCATGGTGCCTCTGAGAATATGAACATACTGCCAACATTTACAATTCAAGAGAGGGCACACCAAAACCTTTATGAGATAGCAGTTGTGACATCACTGGGTCTGCATCTGAAATGGCTGAGAAGCAGCTGCCCCTTGAGAACAGTGATATATTTTCAATTTTACCCTGGTTCAAACAACTCCCTATTGCCTGATACTCTGGTGTGTATACTACTAGCCTGGCTCCTGATGGCATATGAGCTTCTGACTTCTACTTGACAGGCCTTAGCTCTGCCCCTCACCACAACCCCATGCAGAGGAGACTCTCCCATTTTAATAAAGAAAAATCTGAGGTCTAGTCACACAGTAGTAAACAGCAGAGGCAGGGCTAGAACCTGGAGCTGTCTGATTTCAAAATTGCTGCTTTTTCTATTGCCAGCTGCCTCTTGGCCAGAGTCCTGCATTCCTTATCCTGAGAACCCTACCACATCCTGAAGAACAGGGGCAAGGCCCTGAAGACGGGAAGAGGAAGAAGAGGAGAAAAGGTGCAAATGCAAACTGCCAGTGTCCTCTAGGACACATCCAAAACTAGAGTCCAATCAAATTCTGGGGCAGAGGTCATAATCAGGCCCCACAGCGGAAGATAAAGAGCACAAGTTTTGGGAAGGTCAACCTGAGTTTGAGTCTCTACTCCACTTACCAGCTGTTGAGCCTTTCACAAAACACCTATCTCTATGGGCCTGTTTCTTCAGCTATAAAATGAAGACAGGAGTTAGTCAAAACCACTATTAACCTTTCAGGAAGTTCTATGATGCACCTAACACAGTGCTTGGGGGAAAAAATGTCTCTAATCCATGGAAACAGGAGGGCCAGACCTACAAAGACCTGTGTAATTCAGTGTAATCCAAGGTCATTCCAATGCTTTTATCAAGGTGCCTTGGGGAAAATTCTACCTTTTAAGTCAGTATTTTTCACTAAAACCCTGTAACTCCAGGGCCATGTCAATGTGATTTCCATTGTGAAAATGAACAAGAAAGTTTCATCCTTTGGAACAGTGGCTACCAATTTATCAAGGGTCTAAACTTTGATGGCTACTGTGCAACAGCCTATATACATGTGAGAAATGTGACGCTCAAAATAGTTAGAAACAGTATTAAGTACACAGTAAGTGCTCACTGAGTGAAAGGGAGATGGGCAAGGAGGAGGGGAAGGAACAAACGAATGAGGGTAGGAAGGGGGAAAGGGAGGAGATGGGGAGAGGGAAGGGAGGTAGACGGGAAAGAGGGAGGGAACAGAAGAGAGAGGACAGTGCAGTTCAAGACTGCACAACTCCCACAGCTAGAACATGGTGGAACAAAGAGCCTAAGCTGGGTCTGCCTGATCTGAGGCCCATTTTTGTTCTACCAGGCCTCCTCCTGAAGTGGCACAGAAGAGGATTTCTCCTAAAGACAGTATCCTGTAATCCCAAAAGGAAAATCTGAAGGAAATTTCACTTCCATCTCTAAGAGCAGGCTGGCCCCTGGGTTTCGGGGCACATGCATCTTCCCTTCTTATGGAGAATTGTGAGGATAAACACCTGCAGATGTGCAGGTCACCATGAGAGCAAGCGCCAGATATGTGGGAAGGGAGATACATAGGGCTTTGCAGGGAACACACTGGATCCTGTCTGCATGCCTAGTGAGACCTGGCCCCAGGGCTCTACCTACTTGAGCCCCAGTGTCTCCATCTGCAAGATGGGTATCACATGTCATTCACAGAACAGTATGGGGCTCACAGACCATGCATACAAACCTCATAGCCCAGGGCCTGGCACAGAGCAGGTG